GTCGCCGTGAACACATCTATGCGTAAACTTGCATTATACGGAGTCGCCGTGAACACATCTATGCGTAAACTTGCATTATACGGAGTCGCCGTGAACACATCTATGCGTAAACTTGCATTACAAGATGTTGTACTGATACACTAACGCTAACGGGGCATTGACGCTGTCTTTGCATTGCTGATACATTCGTCGATTTCAATGTCTAATCTAAAATCTATAAGCGATTTAATAACTAGCATCAAAGTGGACGTGGTATAATGAGGAAAGTAATTAAATTGCTCTGCGGGGCGTTAACGGCGTCGTGCGTCTCGGCAGGCGGGCGCGGCGAAGCTGGGAACGGATGAGTCGACGTTCAACGCGGTGCTGGCGACGCGAAACATGCTGCAGATCTGCGAGGTGTGCGAGGCGTACGCGAAACTCAGCGGCAACGACATCATTGACGCTGTGAAGAGCGAATTCAGCGGCGACACGAAGGAGGGCTACCTGGCGATCGGTGAGGAGAAGGAGGAGGAGGAGGAGGAGGATGTGGAAGAGGAGGAGGAGAATGTGGAGGAGTAGGAGGAGGAGGAGGTAGTGGCGGAGGAGGAGGGGTGGAGGAAGAGGAAGAGGAAGGGAGGAGGTGGAGGAAGAGGAGGTGGAGGTGGATTTCACCCAGGACCTTTCTTTCCGAAGCGGTCGACCAATTGTTTCATCTAGATTTTCCTCTTATTGAGGTCTGGATTCATATTCAAAGTAGGTGTAACTTATTTTTATTTTGACAACTAGATGGCAGCACATACACAATACCAACGCTATTGAATCCCACAATCGTGTCCCGCAGTCGGCCGCACTGTCACGTGGCCTCGCCCAAAGCAGACCTCGTCGCTGTAACATGCAGCGCCACCTCTTGGCACAATACAGCAATATCGGATAAATGAGTTTAGAGCATCTGTTATGACAGGGAATGACTTGCAACTAAGCGCTGACCTGTTCGGATGTAGACCCGGTGTATGAAGAATAAATATTCTCCATGATAGAACCTAAATACTGACTGAACGAGTGAGTCTTTATTATATAAAGGCACAAAGTGTTACAGTCGCGTCTCAGACCCGACCCATTCTTTGCAGTGAAATGTGCGAGGAACCCTCCCGCGTACTTTGCGGAGTGCGTGAAGAAGGCGATCGCGGGAGCGGGAACCGACGACGACAGTCTGATCCGGATCCTCGTCTCGCGCTCGGAGGTGAGTCCACCGGTCGGAGACGTCGGCCACCTCTGTATAAAGGCCACCTGCGTATAAGGGCCACGTTTGGCGTTTGTCCTTGGATGGGTGTAGAACAGTGTATCCACCTCTGTATAACAGCCACCTGTTCATAAGGGCCACGTTTAGCATAATTAATCCGGATAACTGTATAACGATAGAAATTAACCCTAACCCTAAGCCTTGTCACTTTTCTTGGCAATAGAGCTTTCGCTATGTCATAATGCGCGCGGTGTTGTTGCGACTGCTGAGCTTGGGTTTTCTCTTTCAGGTCGATCTTCAGGATATAAAAAAAGCTTACCAGATAATGTACACGGAGACTCTGAATGCTGCAGTCAGTGGCGACACCAGCGGCGACTACAAGAAAATTCTTCTCGAAATTGTTGGCCCAGAATAACTCACCTCTAGATGGCAGCACCTGACAAAGCCTCGGGCCAGAGATAAAGTCATAGTTTAATATGGATCTCCACATGATATCATCTAGCTGCGTAGCGGTGATAAAGGTGTGGCAATCAAATATAAAGCATCATGGTAGAGTGTGACGTGGATGTATTTACCGTTGATGAATGAATTCTAAACACCATTTTATAGGCGAGTACCACCGATGAAAAGGATGGTTAGAAAAAATGTTGGCTTAATCATAAGGAGTTATTCCTAGTCAAGTCTGGCTCTCTGTTAAGAATAGGGGTAATCACAGAACTCTATCGTAAAATCTCTTTAACTCATCTTTAACTCGTAATGTATGAGAGATGTAGTGCAAATTTGTAGAAAACAAAACCTTTATGAGTTACTGCGCAGCTATCTCTAGCGAACACTGACAAACTTTTAACTCTTTAAACCCCCATTAACTCTAGAAACGCATTTACTCTTCAACGATAGGTAGTCGCGTTGAGTAGGATTTGTCGTTTTCGCGTCTTGGCCGTTCTTGTGTTTCTGCGTCGATCCGTGTCGCGGACTCGCGCATAATGGATTGTTCTGGATTTATGAGTCGCTCGGTAGTGCCACATCACCGCCCGCCTTCGCGCCGGCCAGATTTAATACCGCTATTTATTATAGGTTATATACCCATTTGTCTGCGTGTGTGTTTTTTCTGTGGGAGCAATGGCTGCCCACGCGTGTGTGTGTAAATGTGCGTGCGTGCATGCGTGGGGTTGTATGTGCGTGCGCGTGCGTGCGTGCGTGCGCGCGCGTGCGTGTGTGTGCGTGGGTGCGTGCGTGCGTGTGTGTGTGCGTGCATGCGTGCGTGTGTGTGTGTGTGCGTGGGTTCGTACGTGCGTCTAGAGTAGAGTGGGCGTTATGTCAATCGACAGTTCTACTCTTTGCCTTGGGTTGTTAGCGATTGGGTGTGACTTGATTATTGACCCACTTTACATGTATTTGCTGTGTT